CCGCCAGGAGGCCCCAAGGAGGCCCATCAAGAGGCCCCAGGAGACCCCCAAGAGGCCCAAAGGAGGCCCCGAGAAGCCCCAAATCGGCTCCCAAAATGCTTCGAGCCTGCTTCCAGGAGGCCCCCGACAGGTTCAGAGGCTCCCGAGAAGCTACGTCAACCTCCCAGCGAGCGGCCGGACGAGGCCCCCCACAAAATCACAAGAGGGTTCCAGTATTTGTATCCTTCAGCGCTCTCTGGCCTTCTTCCCCCTGCCCCCTTCCCTGCGACTTACGTTGAGTCAAGCTCGCCCCCTAGCTAGAACCTAAGCGCGCGCGAAGAAGCGCGCGCGTGGTTCTAGTATTCATAGTTTTAATATGATTATTAGTATTATCCTGCTAATGTTATTACTACCGCTACCACTACTGCTACTACAGCTACCACAACGACTACGACTGCTACCACTACTACTACTACTACTGCTACTACTACTACGACCACTTCTATTACTACTATTACTACGAGTACTACTACTACTACTACTACTACTTCTACTACTACTACTAATGCTACTACTACTACTACTCCTACTACTACTGCTACGACTACTACCACTACTACTACTACTACTACTACTACTACTACTACTACTACTACTAGCTTCTTCTACTACTACTACTACTACTACTGCTTCTTCTCCTACTGTTACTACTACTACGGAGTACTGTTACTACTACTACTTCTACTGTTTCTTCTACTACTACTACTACTACTACTACTACTACTACTGCAACTACTGCTACTACTACTACTACTACGACTACTACTACTACTACTACTACTACTACTACTATGACGACTACTACTACTACTGCTACTGCGACTACTACTACTACTACGACTACTACTACTACTACTACTACTACTACTACTACTACTACTACGATTATCACGATTTTTATTCCTACTGGTACTGCTGCTGCTCCTGCTGCTTCTACCGTTCGTATTAACAACTACGAAACTATATTGCTAAGACGCTGGCGGGAATATATTATTTTCTGCTCTCCCCAGTTCTAAGCTTTCGTGCAGGGCGGGTGCGATACCCCGGGGTGGACCTCTCCCTAGGACGGCCGACGGAGATGAATTCCTCACGGGGAAGTGCGACGGGCGGCGAGGAGAAGGAGAAGGGTCAGGAAGGAAGGGGTGCGAGGAGGAAGCATAAAAAGAGGAGGACGAGGAAGGAGATAGCACCCCATAACTTGTGGTCGAAAGAGAGGTGGCAATTACGGTCGAGGAGTATTTGTGGTCGAAGGGGGGTCATAATTACTTGTTTGTTGCGTCTAGGTGCGGTGCAAAAGATATCGCTCCGTAGAATCCGCCCCCGTGGACGATTCATTCTTATGTCGGAGCGAACGATTACCCAGAGGGGGTTCAATCGCTTCCCACAGTAAACCTGATCCAGGCAGTTCCAAGAGACCCTCCGGAAATGAATTCAAGTCCCAACGCACATAAGCAGAATGCAAGCCACTGCAGGCAGTGGCCCCCGTCGCCTCTCCGTCGCCATTCCGGACCCCCCAGGGCTGACAGGGTCGACTATTGATCACACATGGGGGGAACCATGGAAAAGGGTAGTTGGGAAGCATCAATGGGGGGTGAGAGACACAAAGAAGTAAGGGTGCGAGGGGGAAAGAAAGGTACATCCCTGGAGGGTCGAGTCAAAAGGTTCGTGGGACAACACTAAGGGGATTCCCGGTGCGTTGCGTCATCATCGTTACCGCCATCAGCATCAGCATAAAAATCACCCGTCAGTCAACATCACCATGCGCACGTTTCGTGGCCCCGTGGAGAGTTCAACCTACGGTCTCAATGGGCACGATCGCGTGGGGTCCCCGAGCCCATCTCGGCACACCACATTACACGTTTCTGGTTCCTTAGGGGTCAGCTTATTGTCTCACTTGGCGCGACTGTTTCGCGTTCCCGAGCCGTGCCGGCAGACCCGTCACGCGGAACCGCATCCCCTGGATCATAAAGCATACCTCCCCCTTTCTGCACTTAGATCTCTTTATCCGCGGGAGTGGGTGTGGTTCAATGAACACAGCAGGCGGGGAGGCCGAACTCTGTTATCCTCTCCAAAGTTCCTATCGTAGCTCTGATTGTGAGGATGTCTCTGGCGAACCGCGATCCAGACATCCTGCCATCGATTTCTCCGGGAAAAAGCTTGTTCTCCCGATTGGACCCCGAACCTTCTCATCCCCAGGGGATTCTTCTGACCAGGTCATGGTCATCGTGCCCGTTGGGGAGCTCAACACACGGTCTTAATGGGTGCGACTGCATGGCGTCCTTGAGGTAATTTCGGCACACCCCTCACTCGCCGCGTGCCCCCTTGGGAAACTCCACCGACGGCGTCAGTGGGCGCGACCGACTGGCGTGCCCAAGCGAACCACAGGCGGACCGATCAACCAGCAGGAGGAGGGAAGGGATGGGGTGAGGAGGAAGCAAGTGAAGCTCGATGAGGAGGACCAGGAGCAGTAGGCGGTCTGTAACCAGTTTGGCTCAAGTGGTGCCTCCCGAACCGCGGCATCGGAGGTAGTGGCACCCTCTTCTAGTTTCGAACGAAGCAGACCAGTCCAGCCAGCAGCGATGAAGCTGATCTTGGACCTCGCCCTCGCCCTCGCCCTCTGTGCGCCTGGCCACGCTGCCCTGCTCCGCTCCGGCGTGGCCGACGCGGCGCAACGAGTCGATACCGGCACCAGCCTGCGCGCGAAGGTGGGCTTCATGGTGCAGGGCATGCTGCAGAGGAAGCACACCACCACGCGGCACATCGCGAATACGGTGCACAAGAAGATGAAGTTGAGCGACGCGCTCCCGCTGTTGGAGGACAAGCTACCCAAGGATGTGACGTCCCTGCTGCACCTGTCCAACGGGGAGCACGCAGCGGCTGCGGGGCAGTTCAGCGAGGTCTCGTTGGCTAAAGGACGCGTGTACTTGAACAACATGATGTATGACGCGTGGCTTCAGCTGGACCAGATCGAGGTCGAGTGCAAGGAGTTCGAGGAGAGCAACCGCATGGTGTTCAGCCAGGTGGTGACCGACCTGGAACATTTGGGCTCGGACCTCGCCGACAAAGAGCGCATGAAAAGTGAGGCCGAAGGTGGAATCGCCGACATGCAGACTCGGATCAACAGCCTGGAGGGCGCCCTGGATACGCTGAAGCGTGGCTTTCAGTCAACCCGCGAGAAGAACGCGTACGAGCTTTCGCTTCGCCAGGACGATCAGGATGTCTTCACCGCCATCCTGCAGCTGTCCAAGTGCCCGAACGCCTACGGAGACGACACGTACTCCTTCGCGCAGCAGTTCCAGGTGTGCGACACGGGCAATGGCACCGAGTTGGTGGTCAACGATTCCTCCATGGCAGCGAAGCTGAAGCGGTCGCCGCGAGTGCAAAAGGTGCTCGAGGAAGTCTTGGGGGCCGCCGAGTCGGGGACGCCCTCGCTGCTGCAGATCGCTCAGGCGCCCCCGCCGCAGAGGGTCAAGCAACCGAAGGGCGGCTCGAGGAAGTGTCTGAACGGCATCGTCAACTGCGGTTACCTCCACGACATCATGGCGCTAGAGTGGGGCAAGTTCAAGGACCTGGTGGACGAGCTGACCTACACCATGCAGCGCAACCGCGACGCCTACGAGGGCGAGAAGGAGAATATGAACGAACAGATCGCGACGCTGAGGTCGAACAAGATGAAGTTCACGGAGATGCTGGGCGAGGCTGTCTCCGAGATCAACGCGCTCACGGCGGCGACGCGCGAGAAGCAGCAGCAGCACCGCGACATCGAGAGAGCGTTCACGATCAAGATGGCGGATTGCAGGAAGCGCATGAGCGAGATCCTCTACACGAACATTTGCGGGACTCGGACCGTGCGCAATGCACTGATGCGGTACAGTGCAGTCTCGCCCACGCACTCGATCAAGGACTGCGACGTGACAGACTGGTCCGCGGGGCCGTGCACCGCCGACGGTAGGGGCAACTCACGATCGGTAGATTGTGACGACAGCTGCCCGGCCGACGTGGGGGGCGTCGACGTCGACACGTGCGGTGGCCTGAAGTATCTCAGCAGGCAGGTCATCATCTCCCCGAACTCTTTCGGCATGGCGTGCCCCCCTTTGTACTTCGAGCGCACGAACGGGACCGTCGGCATGAAGTGTAACCAGTTCCACTGCCCAGTCCATTGCTCCATGTCCGAGTGGTCTGGCTGGTCCGCATGCTCCAAGGAGTGCGGGGGCGGCGCCCAGGGGAAGACCCGTTCAATTCTCGTGAAGCCCAAGAACGGTGGGACGGAGTGTGACACCACACTCGAGGAGCAGCCGTGCAACACTGGATCGTGCGACCGCGATTGCACGCTCATGCCGTGGACTGCGTGGGAGCCGTGCTCGATGGCTTGTGGCGGCGGCATCCAGGAGCGCGTGCGGAAGGTGGACATCCCCATCCGCGCGAACGGCAAGTGCCCAGGGTCGAAACACCCCGACCGCTTTCAGATGCAGCAGTGCAACACCCAGGATTGCGTTGGTGACGAGATCTGCATCGCCAGGCAGGACCTCGTCATTGCGCTCGACGGCAGTGGCTCCGTGAAGCAGGAGGGCTTCGACATTATCAAGAATTTCGCCCTGAACCTCACCAGCAAGTACCAGAGCACATATTACGGCGTGGAGGACATGCGCATCGGGCTGGTGCTGTTTGGGAACGGCGAGTACTTCGACAATGGCACCGTCGCGCCGGCCCTGGAGGTGGTCTCGATCACCAGCGACCTTGATTCCGTCAGCACAGCAATCGAAGGGCTGCAGTGGCAGCGCGGCTTCACTAACATGATGCAGGCCCTCAAGGCGGCCGACAACATGTTCGCAGACGGCCGTGACGACGCTCAGAGCGCCGTCATGATGATCTCGGACGGCAAGTGGACCAACGCGTACCGCACGACCATGCTGGCAACGGCGATGAAGGACAAGGGCGTGCAGATCTTCATGGCCCCGATCGCCGAGACCACGACGCAGAATCTGGTAGTGCTCAGGGGTTGGGCGAGCGATCCGTGGGAGACCAACTACGAGCGCATCCCTGGCCTCACGGCGCTCGTCAACAACGAACCGGAGTACGCCCAGAAGCTGCTGGTGAAGTTCTGCCCCCGTGCGTTCTCGCCGTCGGCCAAGTTGGAGGAGGAGCAGCAGCAGGGCTACCTCAAGATCCGTGAGGAGGGCTACCCCTCCGACAGCTGCGGCCCGTCGAGAAACATGGGCATGGTCGACTCCGTCGAGGCCTGCATGGAGAAGGTTAAAGAGGCGGGTGTCCTGGCCTTCGCGTACCAGGATGGGGGTCGTATGGAGGGGGCCTGCTTTTCGGAGGCGATCGACGTCACTGATGACTTGTGGAACCAAGCGCTGGCTTCCCGCGTCGACCTGTCGTGTCCAGGCGGCGCCTGGGTTTTCAACGAGTACCTCTCCACCTACATCATGAACCCGAGCATGTTCGGAGACCTCTTCGACGAGTGAGCTGTCCTGGGTCCCCCGCTGCATTGCCTCCGCATGTTTGCGAAGAAGGCCGCACGTCTGCTGTGCAGGCTGGCCTCTTGTGTCTGAGCGCCCAGCATAGCGAGCTTTCGCAATCAAGCCAAGAGTGCTATGCTTCTCGCTTGGGCTATTCCGTGGGTTGACACTGCGCGTAACCCAACCACCAGCCCATCCAGCCACAGTGCCTAGGCGAGTGGCACCGTTCAGGACAGCGTGGGAGCACTCAGTGGAAAACAAAGGGGAGAAGCCGTCAAATCGACGATCGGCATCATCCTGAGCAAGCCAAGGAGTCAACCGTAAATGATCTTGCGGATCTTCTGCTACTGTAGGAGCGTGTTGGCAGTTTGCTTGGGCCACCCTGGGGCGTTGCTGGAGGCCGTTCGTGTTCTATTGCGGCCCTGTTGGGGCAATCTTGGGGCTCTCTTGGGGCCCTCTTTTGGGAGCCCGGCTCAGTGGCCCCTTGATCGGGCTTAGTAGCCCCCTTGATGGATCCCACGAAGGCCTCCCAGTCGGGAAAACAAAGCACGACACCACCACCACCAGGGGTGCCACCTCAGCTGCGGATGTGGGATGTCTCGGGCGGTGGAGGGTGACCGCACCACAAGGAAGACCCTCCCTGGCTCCTCGCGCTGCTGGTGGTGTCGCCACACGCCGGTCGTTGAGAGTCGGTGCGCTTGGACTCCCAGATCCCAACCTGCTTCGAGCGTGTTCCTGCCTCATGAGGTACATGCCGAGAGGTACATGCCTGGGTCAACGTGACCACAGGCAACATGACGCCCTCCCAACAAGCTGCAGCCATGCAGCGAGGTTTGGGAGGACTCGCGCGGACCATAGCCATGAGAGCTCCCCCAGCAGTTCTCAATCTTGGCGTTAACATAGGTGGCCGCCATACCGACGGCGTCACCTACATCATGTTCCTTTGATTGACCAGACGTTGGCACGCTTCGAGATAGCCCGCTACGAAACTGAAACGGCAAGCTTTAACATCCCCAACTTCCAAATTTTAACACTCATTTTATTCAGAACCCTTGGAGCGGGGACGTCGCGTGCACAGCAACTCCTGCAGCCACTAAACCACCACATGCCGAGAGACCAGCAACAGTTTGACTTTCTACTTGAACGCATGAAGTCATATGCACACATTGCTCAGATAACCCCTGGCAATATTGGCGGTATTTTCTGTCACGGTCACCGCACCGAGACCTTCCACGTTGTGGCAAACGCAGGGCAACTTGCGAAGGACGTCTGGAATGACGATCCACAACCAATTGAGGCCACTACACTGCTGGCTCAGACTAGTGGATCGGCCCCGGGGTCGCGAAACTCCTGGGCCAGGTTTCGGGGGCCGCCCGGCGCGGTATCCCTTACACCAGCCACAACCTTAATGGGTTCAGCGGGGCAACTTGCTTGCCGAATCCGACTTCGACTCCGGTACTGACACCGACACCTCTTCGGACGACGAGGCCGCAGCCCTTGACTACTCCGATATACCTACGTACCTCACGTACCAAGTAGAGGCGATTTATGAAGAAGCCAGTTCGTAAGTACTGCGCATCGTCCGACGGGCACTCAAGGGAGAAGGCATGGGTCGAGGTAAGGCTAGAGGGAGGCGTCGCCGATAGCATGGCAGAGGCATGTTAGTATCCCTAGCGTCCCTTACCGGGCCACAATATGAAGAGATATTCCTCGGTGCAGGCAGGAACCACAGGCATACATCGGGAAAAGGTAAGGAACGTCAGGAAAACCCGAAGGATGTCAACGGCAAAACTATTGGGCGCGACATATGCCACAGCACACAGCACTTTCGTCGCGAATGCCCTCAGGGCGATGGGAGAGGCAGAGGTCCGTCGATACATCTGGCTCAAACTGACTCGGAAATACATGTTGTTGCTTGGGGGTCACTTTTAGCCGACCCTGCCGATAGCTGAGTATGTTTTATTTTCTTGTTTGCCAGATAGTTGAGTGCCAGTATGTCCTTCGATAGTTGCGCCGACGAGCTGTTCGAGGACGCGTTCGCTGGTCGCAATGATATTGATCTGGCAGACTGGCTGGGCATACCCATCGCGGGCCAACCTGCTGATATTGAGTGTGTCGAGAATTTCCACATGCCCGCTGAAGGAGATGGCGAAATGTCGGGGGCACCCGCGGATTCAGACGCCACCATTCCTGCGACAGGGGGAAAATACAGTTGATGCTTTATCTTCGGGTTATTGGAAGTCCGACGAACATGGAAATCAGCGATGACGATGCTTCGCGGGGAAGCCCGCGAAATGTCAGCGGCCTGTCTGAGCGCATTCAGTACGAGCTCGGCCGCAACGCGGGAGTGCAATGCACATTGGCAGCTTCGGGCCGCTCCATGAGCCGGCAGGGGCGATCGGCAAGCCGCCATTCCTGGAGACGCAAGTATCGCGCCGACGACGGCGACGAATCATGGGAAGGCGACGCTCGTCTGGCACGTCGCGGTCGGGCCCGCAGTCGCTCGCCCGACCGGAGCGCGCACGCGCTCCAGCGGCGCCCGCGCTAGCGACCTTCGGCGCCCTCATCCTTCTGATGCGGGGGGGGGCCAAAGACATCTCCATGGGAGGTGGACCTGGCGCCCCCCGGGGCAGGGGTCGCCCGCGGGGGCGCCCGCCTCGATGGGGGCCAACCTCGTGAAAAATATCCAGGCGACGAAATTCAGTGCCTTGTTGGCTACTCGGATGCTGTATTGGCTCGTCAGCGCATAGACCCAGATACAATGCAACACTGGTCGGGCCAGGGTTTGGCTGAACGCCGGATTCGTCGCTGGCGTTATCTGCGCGAGATTGGTCGAAATGAAAAAAGGCAAGGTCCTTCGCTCAAAATGGACAGGGGCCGTCACGTCGCAAGAAGCCTTCATCGAGCGCGACCTCAAGAGAGCTACCATCGAGGAGCGAAAACTTTACAGAGTCGTGGCTTGCACCTGCCCCGAGCATCCCGGCCACTGGCTCGGCTGCCGCATGAGGCGCCCATCAAGAAGCCCGAACTTCCGCAAGACACCGTGGGTCTGGCCCCACGGTGATGGTCGGGGTTGCGGCGCCGACCATGGAGCAGTGGAAGGAGCAGTTGACGAAAAGCGATTACGACCGAGCTACGGCCGGAGAAATATCCATATTCATGAGGACATGTGAACAATGATCACTTCTTTCTTCATTCTGTAAATGTATTCAATCGCGCTTGGAACGCGGGGAAACCTGCTTCGCCTAAACCAGAAGAAGACGACCAACAGGGAGCTGGCGCAGCTGAAGATACGGCTGAAGCGGTAGACCCCGCGGCAGCAGCTTCTCGGGGTACGCCTCGGACTACTCCGACACCCTCTCCACTGGCACGGACATCACGTGCGATGCGGACACCCCTATTGATCCCAGAAAGATGGGCTGTCCACCGCGCTGGATCTGTAGGTCGGGGCTTAGCTCTACCAAATATAAGCTGACCGTGAAGGGAAAGGCCACCATCGGTAATATGGCATTCAGAAAGCCTGATGGCGTAGACTTTAACCTCGACAGAGGGCCCGTGCCATATGGGCCATGGATACCTGCAGGGGCAACGCCTAAAGCACCTCCTCCCAAGCCGAATACAGATCCGCCCATTGATATTTCTCTATCTTCGGATTCGTAGAGTCAACATAAGTCACTCGGACCTGATCAGCTCAGGCCACCGCGCAAACAGACGAAGAGGAAAAGCCCAGATGATCTCAATTCTGGAGACAAGCAACAACAACCTGCGGGGCAACCTGCTGATCGACGTCGATCCAGAGGCCCAGCAGCGGCCGCCGCAGCAGCTGCATTTCGAGGCACCAGCACTCCTACTCAGAAGGGCCCTGTACCACGTCGCGGCCCTACACCTGACCGGGCACATGGGACTGGCTGGGCGCCGACGCTGGAGGGGTCATCGCAGGATGCTTCTACACCGCGGCGCGGTGCCGATAAGAAAATGTTGGAAACTACAGCAAAGGCATCAGAGTCAGGTCCCAAAGACAAGACGCACGAGAAGAATCGCCAAAACTTCGACATCATCGCCCCGCCAAGGCCTCCTCGGACGCGCAGTAGATCGGCAGGCGCTGCCTCGTCATCGGCGGGCGTTCGCGCACCCGCAGCATCAGCAGCAGCTCAGAGTTCTGCGGGGCAACCTGCTCTTACTGTGGAAATGCCACCGTTGAATGCCAACAGTATTGGGGCTGTATGCGCACTGCCAGGCGCATGAAGAGCAACCCAGCATATCACCCCGAATATGATGACGGGTCTGATCGATACATTGCGGTGGAATGCGATTTTCAGGATACCGCTGTCACTGCCGAGAAGGGCGCTCATGCGCGCCAGGTTGCACGTACTATCTTGCGTAGACGCTTGGCGCTGGGGGATCTGTCCGAGAATGCCGACTTGATGGGGTTCTTTGAAGCAGACAGAGTAGTTGGTCCAAATCTGACCCATGAGGAGCAGCGCAGCTGCTCAGAATGGCTTGCGACTGCTACTCGTCACAGACCATTTCGCAGCAACCGTCTCTCCGATCGGATTCTGAGAGCAGTACCGTCTTTCAACGAACTCGATGGATGGGTAGAACTCCCAGAGCTACTCAACCAGTGTCCACCTGAAAGATGTGATCGCTACCGCCATAAACACCTGGAGACTGTCTGGCGCTATGCCAGAAACCGCTATGGGCATGCCAAGTATTGACTGCGCTGAACTTGACTGGCATGGGCGACAACACTGGGACGCAGAAAAACAGGCTCCATCTCAAGAAGGCAGCTGAGATGTACGAGACATATTTCATACGCCCATGTAATGGACACAGCAGACCTGGGATACAATGCCCTGAATTTCTGTATATGAGGATAACAGCTTTGACGATTCCAGGTGCGCCGTAATATTTTATTCATGGTACCCGGTGGGGGAACATCCCGAATGTAGGTCATGCCGTGCCGACGACATCATCGAGAGAAAAGGCAGACAGTTTGTTCACGCTTGCCCATATGTACCGGGTGACAACAGAATCTGGTCCAGCCTTCGCGTCGTCTCCGTATCTTGATTCCGGTTAGTTTGAAGAACTTGTTTCGCGATCGAATGACTGTTTGGCGCTCAGCCAGTAATATCATAATGTCGGCAGGCCAGAACGGCATAATTCCTCCGACTCGCATTGTTTATTTGTTTGGCATCCTGCCCAACGATCAGTGCAGGCACAACCACGTGGGACATGTATGGATGAATCCCTTGTACCTGTGGGTCAAAGGTCAGTAGTATCCGAACTGTGATCTTTCTATCGGCGACATG